GGGAAAACCACCACCCAGTCACGAAACCACCCCTGTAAGTGTCAGTAGCGTGCCGTCTGTTGTTCCTATTGCCACGAGTTTCCGTTATCCTTAGGCGCCCGTGTTAATTGAGACACGCTTGTGTAACGTCCACAAGGAATATTCTAAATTGGACGAAGATTTAGAGTGATAAAGAAAGATTTATGAAGATTGAACAGCAGAGTGAGAAATAGGTGAAGAAGTTGGGTGATGGGATAATTTTGAACGATCTATGAAATTTCGAATGTAAGTGGTCCTGGTTGATTATTACACTTGGAACTGAGTATAAAATTACGAGGAACTGGAGGGTTTACGAGTTTTCGTTGGCAGAGTTCGCGATACGTTTTTGCTATTTTGGAACTCGAAGATTCCTACTATGATCTGTTGACGAGCAAAGAGTGGAAAGCACTGTCAACACGATTCGATTTAATTTAACGCGACTATTTCGTTTTCCAAACATATTTCATCTTAATTTATGAAGCACGCGACAGAAAAGTTTAACGTGCCATTTAATTACGACCGAACTTACGGCGTAAAAGTTACGAAAGAAATTATGGTAATAACGGCACGGTAATAGAATTTGCTCTTCCTCGTTTCTAATCCCTCTTTTTCCTTCGATAGCCTAGTAAATATTCAATTATCGTGCAAGAAACGATATTGAAAAATAGAGCTGTCTATCTGACAACGTAACTTCGGAATTATTAAGATCGTTGAGCTGAAAAACATTTAATAATTCGGATTCGTTCGGAACGGGCCGATTACGTAGACTTGGGCGGAACGATTTTACTGCCTGATCTTATTGGCTTTCACTTTCAAAATCGCGGTAAAACGCTACGTTTACGTTAATTGTTGTAAAAAGGAAAGGTACAATATGAAAGGTGTAAAACGAACCGAGCGGAACGGAGTCGCGAAAGAACCATGCTCCATGATCTACATAAATTTTTAGCCTTTTTTACGCGTTGAGAGCAAGAAATAAGCGTTGATTAATGTAACCACGGTCGAGACGTTTATACTTTCGTTTCGTTACGATTTCATTTATTTAAAGCCGCGTGAAAAGGAACATATAATTCGAAATTGTACACGTGCCTAAATTTATGTTCCACGTACAATAGAGGTCTCGCTTATCGATGACAAACTGCAGAATTTCTAGTAGAATAGTAATTAGCGTGAAAACTTTCGCTTCAATTGCGGCAACGCGTGTAGTTATTATCTCGTATGTAAGCAAACGTGGATAATTAACCGACTCGTTGTTGTATAAATTTTCGTCGGATCTGTACGTTTGTCGGTCGATTCGAGAAGGCTTTCGCTATTGTGAATTCCGGAAAATGAAGCATTTCACTTCTCGATCTGCGATCCAGCTTTGACCGGGCCCGATTGTTCGCGATGGCTCGAAACGGTTCATGGGAACGGCACCGATCGCACGGCTGAAAATCAGCGAGATTGAATTATGCTTGGTCTGGATCCACGTCGACCAATTTCTCTTTCTCTCTATTAATTCTGTTAGCAATTGTAATTTATAATTCGTAATTTATGACACTATTGTATACGCGTCTGTGTTTCAAAGGTTGACGAATGGTGCTTGTGAAAAATCCATCGCCTTCCCGAGGCGAGAGTCTTCAAAAAGAAAATGCGAAGAAGGATAAGGGAAGGAGTCGCGTGTCTCGCGGCAATAGCCCGGCTGATCAAGCTACCTCTAGGGGAAGTAGTCCAGGAAAGAGCATTTCCGGTGTCAAAGTAGTCGGGAAAAATAGCTTATTACAGTCTCGTGGAAGCGAGTGAGTATACACCGATGTTTAAATCTGATAATTGTATTTTATCCCTATTATTTCGTCGTTATCGGAACACTTCGTTCGATCGATCACTCCGTGAAAAAGGTTTTATAAATGACTTCGCAAAAGGAAGAAATATTAATAATTTGATTAATAACGTTAATAATCTCGTTCTCGTCGTACTTATATTTAGATCATTGAGAAGCGATGTCCCGAGCAGTAATAGCTGAAGCAGTTTTCATACCTTTGGCCAATATAAGGAAAATCACCACGAATAACTCGTGTTAACGCTGTCCGATGGAACATGTACGCTTGCACAACAATTTTGTTTAAGTGGACAGCGTAAGCAAATGTTTACGCAGAAACTATCGACCTGGCTGGACGTTTCTGCGAGAAACTAACGCGTTCAAGCAATCGATGCGAAAATTATTTCTCATTTTCCTTTTCCGCTAAAATACATCGTAAATCGATACTCCACGACAGTGACGGTTTCATTATTGATAACGTTATGAATATTCCATAAATCGAACATACATTATCGTAACATTATCGCCTGTCCGTTTAATACGAGAAGAACGATTTCTTTTTTTTTATCGACTTTCGAGTACGATAATAAAAACATACAGATAATACGAGGCAATAGGAGTTAGCGAGAATCACTTATCATTTACGATTCCAACGATAACACCAAATTCCGTGGATTTTAATCGAATGGAACAATACAAGTGTAAAAATAACGACGAAGAAAAACAAGAGATCGAAAGTAAATGGAGTAATGCAACGATAAATTCGTGGACACTGGAATAACCTGTGCCACGAAAGGGAAGGAAAATGGGTAGGAAAAATATTGACCGATGGAAAACTACCGCACGAAATTATCGCGAATGATACTCGACAGTCGCAACGACATCAGAATATATGTAGAATTGGCTTGTAATTCAGTGGAAGCTATCTAGAATTGAACTCGACAAACGGCGTGTCGTGTAGCGTCGAAAGGGAGACCCACAAATAAGTTGGCGGATGAATCCTGGCAGAGGAATTAGCGAGTCGAATCGTTCGCTCGAGGTTGCCCCGTAGATCCAGGACACAGATAGGTCGATGTAACGCGTCGAAGAAGCTTTGGACTGGTCATTCGATTTAATTTTCCGTCAGGGGTTGGCTGCCCGTGTAAACTCACCTTAATCGTTTCACGTAGTTATACGTACGGACATTGATAGACGCATACGTCGCAATTGCGACACATTTTGATGCCGTGTATCGATTACGGGACCTTGCTGGGTTGTCTCTTTCTGTCGGTCAATATCGCAACGATCGCGAACCGTGCGCCCATGAAAAGAGATCTTCGTGTTCAGACACGTGAAACGTGTACTTTACTCGTGGGTGGGCCTGTTCGGCTATTTTATGGTGGAAAATGGAAAACGGTATAGGGAAAGGTAGACTGAATAATACAGGGAGAAGTAATTCCGTGTTTCTTTTCATTTCCTGCCCTTTTTTCTTGTAAATTCGAGGGGTCAGTTACAATTAAAACTAAACGATTCAGAATTATATATTAATTTACCCTGTTATCAGGGATCTTGGAAAATGCTGACACTATATCAATGAAACGATTTACAACTCGTAGTATTAAAATATTAATTCCGCATTTCCTGTTCAAATAAAAGTATTGCACGCAGAAAAAAAAACGAGGTCGTTGTCAAATAAAGTAACGTTAAAAATAACGATGAGAGTGACTATAATATTGACACATGGTTTATTATCATATAATATCGTCAGACGGTTTCTTTAGCGCCCGATGCAATACGAGTCATGAATGGAATTACAAAGGTGTAGAAGAACAAGCAGGCGTTAGGTCATCAGGAAGTCGTAAACGAGCCAGCGACGCAATGCTTTAATGAAAAAGAAGTATTAACCTTAGATCCAGACAGATAATCCAAAGCACTCGTAATTCCAGAAATCGACCAGCTGGATATAACTCGAATCGATGTACAGTCATCCACGAAATTGAACGTGTTAAGCTTGCACGATTAAACGAATAAATCGCTTAGAATTACGATTTAAATAATAAAAATGCGTTAACCAATGGCACGAATCGGATATACCTATCGACAGGCTTCGTTCAAATTTGTTAGCTTCTCTCGTGAACATATTCGTGGCGTCTGTGAACGAAGGCAATTTGTAAAAGCTTATCGATTTAGCCCTATCGATGCCACACGTGAGCGTTAAGCGTGCGAACCACGTTTTCTATCAAGCTTTTAGTGTAATTATAATTTCCGATTGCGAATATATTAGGAGGCCACGATGCAGGATAAGCTGTCTTTCTTTACACACCCAAGTCGACGTCAAATTTGTTCAACGTCACGTATCTATACACGCAATAACCGTATATGACTTTGTTGCGATTTACACAAAGTAACGTATAACAGTTCTCTTGTTATGATATACGATGCTATAGTTAAATAAGCAAACGCTGTTTTCCCATGCTTTTCTCCAAGTGCATTAACCGTCGATAACGCTTTCCACCGATCAGGGAAATGTGAAAAGTTTCGCGAGACATGCGTGTTTCGTGCACTGTGCATCAACTAAACCTGTGCGCATAATTTTAGACTTTCACGGTTATGGCATCGATATTATCGGTCACGGTTAATACATACTAGACTCGAAGTCTCGAACTTTATAGTGGTAATATCCAGATTAATTTCCTAAAAGAATCAAGATAATTCTTGCACACCCGGAAGAAGACTCGAATTGTAGTACTCGTTTGATTCTGAATTAATGGCGAATAATATTCGAAATAAATTACATCTATCTTCCTCTCTAATTTACTTAATAGCCAGTTACGATTTATAAGATGCAATATTTTGTTATCGTGCACCGTTCCACGTGCGAGCAACAGTCAAAAGTATTGTTTATCCAGGCAATCAATCGCGACTGTCGGTTCGGTAATCAAGCTCCCGTGAATCATTGACTGAGGTCGAAACGATTTTTCAATACTGCGATTAACCCTGTGGTGCAGAAGGAGAAAACGAAATCATAAACGAGCCTGGTCAATCACGCGATTTTTCCTCGACAGTTTCAGTTAGCCCGATTGATTGAACTTCCTCAATTATTTACCCGCCATGATAAAAGGTCAATCATGAAGCTGCCAGATGGGTTACTCCTGTTAAAACGTTCGATCATGGCAGAGAACGACGTTACGGTTCTACAGAAAACTATTAGTACCGACTTGGCATCGTTCGGAAATCATTATCACTCGTCTATCTGTTTGGATTTCAGGACTGGTAGCATCGAGAGGTTGGTAGACGGTGATAAGAGAGTGATCGCCACTAAGCATCTGCTTCCAGAGAACAACATAAATGTTGTCGTCAGGTAATTGGAAAGAAACCCGTAAAATTACTACTTAGAAATTATAAGATTAATTCTCCGTGTTAACGATGCTAACGGTGAAAATAATTTTACAGAGTTCGTCCACTTAGCAGTAAGGAAATTAAGGCCGGCGACGATATGGCCGTGCAATTTCCCGGAGATGGACAGATATACGTGAGCCTACTTCCTTATCTCCCTCTGCTAATACAAATTAATTTGGACTAGAACTAGATAATTCCCTGATTAAGCTATGTCGGCTTCGTGTTCCTGGTCTCCCCTTGTTTAATTAAAAGTAAACGAAATTGTCGTAAATCACGCTGACATTTATCGTCCAATCTTGTACAGTGTGAAGGATTCCCGAGCAGCGGGGACAAGAAGGGCAAATTATTTTCGTACAACGTGGTGTTCGAGCCCACGGCCACTCAGGAGGACATCTTACAATTTTCTGGTATAAAGAAGCTCATCGAAATGGCAGTAGAAGGGTTTAGCTGTACCGCGTTTTGCTACGGCCAAACCGGAAGCGGAAAAACTCATACCCTCACGGGACCTCCAGAAATGGTTAGTGACGAAGGTTCTATAGTGTGCTTCCTAAATGTTTCTCCAACGAGAATTCATCAGTTTTACATAGGTAGCCAGGGCGAGCATGACTTCAGAAACTTCCGCCAGGAATAGTAAAGGGCATTATGAATTATGGATTAAAATAGTCTAGTTGAAGGTCATGTTTGAATATATCAAAAAGGTTAATACTGTTCGACGTGCGTAGATAAGATAATGACTGAGTAGACGAAGCTTGTCTTGTTTGTGCTTGAACAATGTTCTACGCCACTGCAAAAACAAGCTAAATAGTTACTAAAAGCAGTCAAATAATTAACCCTGGCGCTTTACACTAATCCTAATACCTGTACTTTCTTTCATCACGTTTAACATAGCAAAAATCTCTGGGTGATTCATATTTCTCTTCCAAATTGATTCTCTATGTTGGACATAAAATTAAATTAAATTTTCTTTTTGATGAGGAGTTAATAAAAAATTAAGAACTATATTGGAGAAATTTTGTCATATGAATTGCTATTAACTATCAATGAATGTTCTTTTTCCTCAGTTCGAAAGGATGAATCCTTACTCGGAGCAACACGGCTTGGTCTTCCGGTCTTTCGTCTACCTATTTAAATTGTTGCAAGAAAAACAGGAGTGTAACTTCGTGTTGAAAGCCTCCTTTCTGGAAATCTACAATGAGAAGGTCAGTGTACTCGGCGTGGAATTAGGGAATAATATCGAGGTATCTTTTCACAGAGCATCTTTTAACATCGAACCGTAGGTAATAGATCTGTTAAATCCTGGCACGTCGAGGAAACCACTGATGGTTCGATGGAGCAAAAAGACACGAGGCTTCTTCGTCGAGAACCTTTTCACTGTCGATTGCGAGGAACTTGATGACCTTCTGGCGGTTCTCGAAGAAGGTAGTTCTGTTATTGATCTTCACCTTTCACCCTGATAGATGGACTTTAACCCCTTTTAGTTCAATCCTGCACGCAACGCATGTTTCATTGAGGAATCATAAACGTAATAAATTCAATTCGAAAATATATCAAAGGTGTATCCATTCGTTAAAAGAAAAGAATTATTTTGCGAAGTACTAATCGTTAGTATTTCTTTCAAATTAAAAATATATATTTAATATCATGATATTTCAGGAATGAGGAATAGATCAGTCGGCTCGCACAATATGAACGAGCATTCCAGCAGAAGTCATAGCATCCTCACTGTCAGCATCACATCTGAGCAACAGGTGAATCTTCTAATTATCATGTAAGAAAGACCAAGTTATACGAATGTTACCGTTCATAGATGGACAACGGTGTATTTATCTCAAGACAAGGGAAAATCAACTTCGTTGATTTGGCAGGAAGTGAAATGACGAAGAAGACGCAGAGCGAAGGGAAAACTCTGGAAGAAGCTAATAACATTAACAAAAGTCTTATGGTCCTAGGTATAGTTATCAAACACGTTACAATAAATTCCTTATTAAGTTACAGTTGAAGTTGCCAGACAAATTAAGTATTTAAAGTGCTATAGAGTTCCATCAATTTTTATTTTCCTTCTCTACCTAACTCTACTTAAATACCTATTTAAATGGTATTTCCATGGAAGTTCGATATCAAATTAATAGGGTTCAATCGAGTCACGTTTAATATTACGACTCGGGAAATTGATGTTGTCAATTATGCAGAAGTATTGTGAGAATCGATTTTCACGAAAGGGCGCAAGCTTTACCTGCAACATCAACGTCTGTGGAGCAATCGATAAGCCCACGTGGTAGAGTGAATTACGTAAAAACGCGTTTATGTTGCAAAGAAGTTTTTCAAACTTCTTCTGAGATGGACACTTTTTGTTTGCGAAGGTTACTGCATAGCTTCCTTGAGTGATGGAAAACGCAAAGGTGGTCACATTCCGTATCGGGACAGCAAATTGACTAAGCTTCTAGCCGATAGTTTAGCAGGAAACGGTGTTACATTAATGGTAAATCGTATTATTTTCATCGTAGCGGCTGATAGTTATTTAATTATCTATACTCAATAAGTACAGCTAATTAAATAATTTTATTCAACTTTAGGTCGCCTGTGTTTCGCCAGCCAAATCAAACGCGAGCGAAACTCTGAATACTTTGAGGTATGCGGCAAGGGTGAAGAAGATCCGAACGAAACCCATCGTCGTAATGGTAATTGAAGAGATATTAATAAATTAAACAAGTAACATGGGATATAAATAAAATTTGACTTCATAGGACCCTCGAGAAGCTCTGATCCTCAGTCTGAAACGAGAAGTAGGAGCCCTTCAAACGGAAAACGAACATCTGCGGGCAGCTCTTCATTTGAGTGGTGACTCTTCAAATATAATTCGTAGCGAATCGAAAGGTAGGTATCAAATATCAATTAATAAAAATTTAAATTGCAAAAATGATGCAGAATCATAAAATTTTATTATGACGCATTTTTTTAATAAGTTACTAATTCGGTTATATTAAATGAATTTCCGCAGCCGAGAAGAGGGTGCCGTTAACGCCACCGGTAGTAGACTTGGATAAATTGTCCGAAATGGAACGACCGGAATTAAGTCAGTTGATTCACGCATATATTACGGAAAATGAAGCTCTTCGTCGAGAAAATGCAGAGCTATACGCAACAAGAGAGCAAGTGATAAGGGACCAAGAACTCGTCTGCAGAGAAAACGAGAGATTACTAAAGAAACTCGAAGATGTTAACTCGTAAGTATAGCTGGGATTTAAGACGACATTGATATTCAATTAATTCGGCAGGTTTTATTACTGCAGAGTGTGTTGTCGGTCGCCAATCATACCTGCTAGACCTACTTATTCGGCGGAAGTCCTAAACGATAATGAGGACGTACCTGGAGCAACCAACGTTTGGACCAACCCTAATGTGGAACCTACCCCTCTTTCAAGTGTATGTAGAAATATTTAAATCGACAATAATAAATATTTAGGTAGTAAATAAATATCAAAAGTAGTGATATATCCATGTGTCAATTATTTAAATGTATCAATTATATCTGAATATTTTATATAACAAAATAATAATGTTTTAATTTACATATTAGTAATTATTATATATTACGAATTACTAAAGGAACTTATATTTATAGGATATGATTAGGCATGGATTGTACAGATCGGCAAGTAATATGCCAGAAAAGATACAAAAGGAACTGGACAAACGTAGAATCGTTGGTAGTTATAATAATATAGCAGAAGCATACAAAGATAAAAGTCATCACCGTCGGCACAATTCGTGGGATAATGGAAATGGTACAACGAGAATGAGTCCGGATCAAACAGTATCACCGATAGACGTTAATCAGTAAGAAATACCCAATAAATTATCATAATACCATATCCAAAGAATATTCAAATCAGTGAATCCTTAGACTCCTATTGAAGACAAACGAAATGCAAACCGATATTGGAATATATTATCCACATTGTAGACTAGGAGTTTTGTTAATGTTCAGTTAAACTAGACCTTTCAATATTCGCACGTTGTTAATGTGAAATAAAATATTTGAAATTTTGGCCAAGTTTACCAGGATATCGACTAACTTTTGTCTGCAATGTGTTGCTCCATCTGATATAGTCGGTACCATTCTATCTACTAATTAAAGGAACGCGTGGTAACAGGTATAAAAAGGCGAGCATACGTCGCACCTCTACAGTCCCTGAAGAACGAAGACCATCAGAGACCAACGATCTCTTAGGCGAACCGGTTCAACCGACTGATCATTCGTACAATGAATCCTCAGACTCAATCCTTAGCAGTCCTCTGGAAATGGTAAATTCTACGCCGGATACAGCTGAATCAGAGGCGCCAACGGCGCCATTTCCGGCAGTATCGCATATGTTATCGCGGTTCGGCACTCCAGAACCCGAAGACCATGAAACGACACCAAGGAAATCCAAAGAAAAAGAGGATGAAACCACTCAAAGAGCGTTTGGTAGTCCAATACCAATTGACGAGGACAAGCCTCTTTGAACATTCGAAGCAATAAGCACAATAGTCGATGATATATTTTAATCATAATGACCTGTGTTAAAGGTCAAAGGCATTGCGTCGGTTACGGGGATGAAAAAATGAATTGGGAAAGATGCGAAAATTAATCGATAATTTGATTGATAACTTCTGGTAGTAGAAGAAAGGGAAAAGCTATTTTGAATGAGTAAACATAATTTAATGACGGATGTTGTATGCGTTGATGATTAGTGATGTAGGATTGACAAAAATAAGATGTATGTATGTTTCTCAAATTATGACACAGTAATATCATGTTTTTAAAGTGACAAAAATATGTAGTTTGTATAGTCGAGATATTATTTCTGTGTATAAAAGCATATAATTATATATGAGCTCAAACGTGAATACTTGAAGGTCTGTGGTTTTTCGAAATGGAAGGAAAATTTAGATTGTCGATATAAATCACTGAATTCTACCTCTGAATAGTATAAAACGAAATATTCTGTAATGGCAAAGGTATGGACCAAATAACGTACAATAAAGTATTTGATTGTTTTGTCAATCATTATTTCTTATTACTTAATCATTTATAGCTAAACACTAAATAGTTTGTTGAATTATACCTTTCTCCCTTGAATTGGATCATTCTGGACATTATAACTCGATTATTGAATATTGTTAAAAATAGTATGTTCGATACAAAAGAAAGCACTTTGAACGTATAAACTGGGACAAACGTTAAGAAAACATTGTTTTCTCTCTCTCTTTTTCCGATAAGAAAAATCTATAGAAAGACACATGACCTAATATGTTCGTTATCGACACGAACAAAGTATGTAATTCTACAATTGCGTGCTAATAATTCATCCATGATGCATACATAATTTATTAGATATGCATCTTGCCACGTCAGATAAGTGAAAACATAAAATTGGTAGGTTAGAGACGATTATCGTCTGCGATAATTCATATGTAGAGGGCGCTTGTGAAGTAAGTCCAATGTAGAATTTTAGGGACAAATTATTTATTGGTTGGAGTCATTTCAACTACAATTAGTACATGGCACGAACAACCAATCATTTTTAACTGTTTAACAAAACTGTTTTCCTATTCGCTTGTTTTGTACACCAATGAACAGATCGGATTCAAATGTAAAATTCATGATGTAACGTTAACCAACGATGTTGCAACAGAAAAAGAAAGAAGCAACATAGTGCAAAATTTCGTCGTGGAAATGATCAATCCGTTCTCTCGTTTCATTATTTTATCACACCTTACCTCAAAAATTAATAAGCAAAATTACAAATTAAAAAGAGAAACCCCTTTGTTTCACGAGGAAGGCGGTATCGCTGTTTTACCGATCGGACAAATCCCCATCCCCACTTTATCGAGGAAGCATCGACATTGCGATTGCTGCTGGTGCGACTGCGAGAGAGCAGCAACAGAGCGGATGAAAGAACGAGAATCATTCTTGGATGGACAGTGGAATCGTGGTAGAGTGCGGGTACAGTTTCGAAAGGGTAAACTGGAAACGACGAAGAACGGTGAACAGGAGAGAGGTGCGGCGAGAGAGAGAGCGGGCGCGTGTGGCAAGGTCGGTGCGTGCGGTGAAGTTACGGGCTTTATTAAAGTGCAGTCGGCCGGGTTGAAAAACAATCGACGGACATAATACGGCGCCCCGTGAAGTCCGATGTCTAGTGCTGAGGTGGTGGAGAGCTCCGTTGACCCCCCAGCTAAGAAGCGACGCGTTGCTGCCACCACGGGAGGAGCCGACGACTCGACGACGATCGCAGACATGGCGAAAAATGGCTCGACATCCCGGGCCTCTACCGAAATTGACGAGGGTCTATACTCCAGGCAGCTCTACGTTCTCGGCCATGACGCCATGCGTCGCATGGCATCCTCCGATGTCCTGATATCCGGTCTTGGCGGACTCGGCGTGGAAATTGCCAAGAACGTCATCCTCAGCGGCGTCAAGTCCGTTACCTTGCACGATGACGCGTTGTGCCAGATTTCAGACCTCGGTTCGCAGTTCTATCTTACCGAGGCGGACATAGGTGAGTGTTCAGACCCGCGAATCACGAAACACATGAGCTTCTTCAATACCAATAATTTTCCATTGTGATCTTGACATCGGGTTTTCGTGAATTCTGTCAATTATGATCGTGTTATCCTACGCGGCGATGATATGACGAATCATACTGTTCATCAGTATTATTGTAAAACATTTTCTTTAAATAGGTACACCTTCTATCTTGTATATTTCAAATGCAAATGGTAGAAATTATGTGGATATTACTGTGACTAATGTATCTCTATATATATATATATATCTTTATAGAATTTATCCTTTCTTTTTATGTTATGAACAAACTTAATAATAATAATGTTTAATTACAATTGTATATAACATTTAATTATAATTAAATGCAATACATATTTCATTATAGAGTAAGATTAAATTGTTGTATTTCTGGTTTTAGGTAAAAATCGAGCTGTTGCCTGTTGTCAACGCTTGTCTGAGTTAAATAATTATGTCCCTACACGTCATTATTCTGGGCCTTTAACTGATTCTTATATCAAGAAGTTCAAAGTTGTGGTTCTGACTGAAACTACATTGAAAGAACAAATGCGTATATCTAAGATTACTCATGAAAATGATATAGCACTTATTATAGCAGATACTAGAGGCCTATTTTCTCAGGTCTTTTGTGATTTTGGAGAAAAGTTTACAGTAGTTGATACTAATGGTGAACCACCTGTAAGTGCAATGGTTGCTAGTATTTCACAAGATGCCGAAGGTGTTGTTACTTGTTTAGATGATACACGCCATGGCATGGAAGATAGTGACTATGTAACCTTTTCTGAAGTCCAGGGAATGACAGAATTGAACGGTTGTGATCCAATAAAAATAAAAGTTCTTGGTCCATATACTTTTAGCATTGGAGATACATCCAAGTACTCAGAATATATTCGGGGTGGTATAGTAACACAAGTAAAAATGCCAAAGACTATACATTTTGCTCCTTTGAAAGATGCTTTGAAAGAACCAAAATTCCAGATTACTGATTTTGGAAAGTTTGATTACCCAGAACAAATACATTTGGCTTTTATGGTGTTACACAATTATGTGGAAGAAAATGGAAAATTCCCTCGACCATGGAATCAAGAAGATGCAAACAAATTCTTAAATCTAGCTAAAACCGTGAATGAGCAAGTTGGCAATGAAACTGAAATAAATGCAGAGCTGTTTGAAACATTTGCTAAAATATGTTCTGGAAATTTGAATCCAATGAATGCTACCATTGGAGGAATTGTAGCTCAAGAGGTGATGAAGGCTTGTTCTGGAAAGTTCCATCCTATATTCCAATGGCTGTACTTCGATGCTATCGAATGTCTGCCTGTGGATCGATCAGAACTCACAGAAGAAGATTGTTGTTCTACTGGATCACGTTATGATTCACAAATTGCTGTTTTCGGACGAAAATTCCAGTCAAAAATTGGAAGCTTAAAATACTTTGTTGTAGGAGCAGGAGCTATTGGATGTGAATTGCTCAAGAACTTTGCAATGTTAGGTGTTGGTGCTGAGAATGGTAACGTGATAGTAACTGATATGGATTTAATAGAAAAATCTAATTTGAACAGACAGTTCTTATTTAGACCATCTGATGTACAACAATCTAAATCATCAACAGCAGCTAGAGTTATAAAGAGTATGAATCCAGACATGAAAGTGATTGCTCATGAAAATAGAGTTTGTCCTGAAACAGAGAAAATATATAATGATGACTTTTTTGAAGTCTTAGATGGAGTAGCAAATGCATTAGATAATGTTAACGCGCGTATTTACATGGATCGTCGGTGTGTATATTATAGGAAGCCTCTCTTGGAATCTGGTACACTAGGTACTAAGGGTAACACCCAAGTTGTTGTTCCATTCTTAACTGAATCATACAGCTCCTCTCAAGATCCACCAGAAAAGAGTATACCAATTTGTACGCTAAAAAATTTCCCTAATGCTATAGAACATACTCTGCAATGGGCCAGAGATAATTTCGAAGGTTTATTCCGTCAAGCTGCCGAAAACGCCGCTCAATATATATCCGATCCACAATTTGTGGAGAGAACGCTAAAACTGCCTGGGGTTCAACCTCTAGAAGTATTAGAATCTGTTAAGACAGCCTTGGTTGATGAGAGACCAAAATCATTTACTGATTGTATTGTATGGGCTCGTTGCCACTGGCAAGAACAATATAGCAATCAAATCAGACAACTTTTGTTCAATTTTCCTCCTGATCAAGTGACATCTAGTGGTCAATCATTTTGGTCTGGGCCTAAACGATGCCCTGAACCACTTACATTTAATGTCAATGATCCACTACATTTAGACTATATTGTAGCTGCTGCTAACTTAAAGGCAAAAGTGTATGGTATTCCCATTAACAGAAATCGAGAAGAAATCGCTAGGATCGTTAGCAATGTTCAAGTGCCGGATTTCTCACCGAAATCTGGAGTGAAGATTGCGGAAACAGATTCGCAGGTACAGGTGTCCAATGGTAGCGGGAATATTGATCATGAGAGACTCAGTCAATTGCAAGAAGAACTGCCAAGAGTTGAAGATCTGAATGGTTTGATAATCCATCCACAAGAATTTGAAAAGGATGATGATACCAACTTCCACATAGATTTTATTGTGGCTGCTTCAAATCTTCGCGCTACGAACTACAAAATTCCATCCGCTGATAGACACAAAAGTAAACTAATTGCTGGTAAAATAATACCAGCCATTGCTACTACTACTTCAGTGGTGGCAGGTTTAGTTTGCCTTGAACTTATTAAGTTGACTCGTGGCGTGAAGGATCTGTCTGTCTATAAGAATGGTTTCGTTAACTTGGCTCTACCATTCTTTGGCTTCTCCGAACCTATCTCTCCACCAAAATTGAAATACTATGACACAGAATGGACGCTATGGGACCGATTTGAAGTAAAAGGAGAATTAACGCTGAAAGAATTCTTGGATTACTTCAAAGAACATCACAATCTGGAGGTTACTATGTTGTCTCAAGGTGTTTGTATGCTTTATTCATTTTTCATGGCAAAGCCTAAATGCCAAGAGCGTATGGGTCTTTTGATGTCTGAAGTAGTTAAGAAGGTGTCAAAAAAGAAGTTGGAGAGTCATGTACGCGCGTTGGTATTCGAACTCTGCTGTAACGACACCGATGGCTTTGATGTGGAAGTTCCATATGTTCGCTATACCTTGCCGTAAAATACGTTAATGTCACCAGGATAACGAGAGATGTCTACTTAACTGACTTAGCCGTAGTAATTTCCACAAATTTCTATTTTACAATACGATACAGGAGAATATTACTCTTTCTCTACATAAGGTTCTCAAAGTTAAAAAAAAAAGATTCATTTTTATCGTCGATGCTTTGTAGCATTTATAATAGCAAGGGATCGTAGATCCACTGAGTTCGTCTTACTATGATCTCCCTTTTTGCTAAATATCGGATTTAGGGCTCCAACTATTTGTTTTCTTTTTCTCTATTACTTCCAGTTATCTTCATTTAAATTGGTTTAATGGTAATCATAAAATTTGTTACATATACTTTTGTCTTTCTTAACAAGCTATATTTTCAAATATAAAAATAAATTAGCTCTAAGATAATTCAAACTGTTAATAAAAGAGATATAAAAAAATGAAAATTTGTACAAGAGAATCTACAATCTTATGCTGTTTATAAAATGATTGAGAAAAAAAAGTGGAAAGTATCACGAAAATATTACAAAAAGTTTAGTCCATATTGGATCATAAAGGGAACTGTCATGGTAAGAATTTTCTTTAGGACTCACACTTCACAATTTAATGTATAGGATCGAAATGTAAATTATTAAATGATAACTCAATGATCCTTAGAGGAATAACACTAACACATTTAACATAAACCATAGATAAACTTGAACAATAAAAGTCGGACGCAAATGTATCTTGCCTTTGTCGTATAACTTTTCTTTTTTCATTTTCTATTTACTGTTACTATTTTTATTTTTATTTTTATTAGAGGCGCGTACGAAATTGAAGAAAAAAAAAAGATCAAATGTTGCCCTCCTTCCCGTTTTTGCTCCAATATGCTCTTGCTATTGAACTCGATATTTTAGTATTTTATATAATCTATACGTTATCAATGATTTTCATTTGTCCGCTTTACTTTTTAAACACCGAATACACTATTGGCTAAGGCTGTTTGTTGTTATAAGGGATACTGCATTTAAATTTTAAGAACAAATATTTGGAAAGAAGCTTCAAAAAAAAATTGCACATTTTAGACCAAGGAATACAAGAAGAAAAAAAGGAAGATATTTTGTTAATTTTAGGATAATGCGGATATTTATTGTATTATGTTATCAATAGATAATAAATAGATGTGTTTGGATTTCAAGAAACATGAGAAATATAGTAATGAAAATAAAATATGGATGTTTTTTTATCCTTTCTATGGTTAATTAAAATTTAAAAAAAATATATATATACATAATATGAAAAATAAAATTCTCGTTACTTTTTAATATTCTTGATTTTAAGTAAAATAAAATTTGGTCAATATTTTGTAATGCGTATGTATGGTCCTCGAAGAATTTACGCGGGAACAGCTTAAGGAAATTGAGTCTCAAAATGGCACAACGTAGTATAATGTATGTAACCTTAAAAAGTTAAGAATTTAATTCTTATTGATTTAATTCTTATTATTGTATTTAAGTAAACATAAGTTTGAGCACTAATTCAATTTGTTTTTGATTTTTTTTATCATCTGACAGGTCTTTTTTCACAAAGGTAAATGCGAAACATGAAACTGAATCTACTAATGTAAGGTACGTTAATTATTTATAAGATTATGATTATGTTTCGTCGCATTGCACTTAATGTGAAATTAAATGAATTTAGTAACAATTGTTCACGTATGATATTTATACACAAACAATCGAAATTAAATAATTTTCTTTATTCAATTATAAATAATGTTAATCGAATACACAGTGACAGCAAAGTTGTTAAAAACGAAGATCAAGACAGTCCAGGAAATGCTAAACGAAAAAGAAACGAAAGCGGGAGTAGCATCGAAAGTACCAGGTAATTAAATTGAATTACATGAGTGACTATTATGAAGTGCCTTAAATAATGTACTATAGTTTTCTTTTTCAAAGTAGTAAGAGTTATTAGTATAAGATTATCTCTTACAATTTTGAAATTTTTGTTTTTATTGATAGATAAAATAATGTAAGATATTCATGTAAGATGTTCATCACAATTTCTTTTAGTCCTTCTCCTATCAAAAAATTTGAAGATTCTGTGAAAGAGAAGTCAACAGTGAAATCTCCTTCACCATTGAAGAAAGCAAATGGTAAAATGTGCAACTGATTGAGTACAATTTTAGTTTTTCAACATTCTTGATATTATACTTACATTTCAGGAACACCAAAAATTAAACTATCGCCTGCTCTTACAGCTAAGAAAGATGAAAAGAAAACAGCTAAAACCCCACATACTGTTTCTAAAAGGAAAAAGAAAGATGATGAAGGAACAAAAACTTCGAAGAAGAGTAATACGAAAAGGAAATTAAATGACAAGTTAAATGTGGTGGAACAAAAAGAAAATGAAATGATTACAGAAAATAAACCTGAATCAAGTCCTGAATTTTCAAAGTCTTCTCCTCAAGAAATAAAAAGTAAATCAAATTTAAAAAATAGTAAAAAAAAAGTTGTTAAAAAAAGGTCAAGAATAATAGCACCTGTTGATGATTCTAGTGATGAAGAGGAGCATATTGTAGTATGTATAATTCTATAAATATCTTGATGTGTAAATGGATATAATTGTTAACATTTATACATAATAATTCATAGTTGCCTGATAGCCCACAAAAAGAAAATCTTGATACAGAAAGGAAACATTCAGTTAATAAAAACGAAAAATCTAATGAAACGGCATCAAACAGTACAGAAAAAAATGGAAAAGAAGAAAAGGAAGAAGAACACAGTACAGAAAAGCCTGTTAAGAAAATCCATAATTTTTTTGGTATTTAATTTACTATTGTGTCAATAAATAAGTAAATAAATAATTACCTTGACATAATTAATATTTTTAGCTCCAAAAGAGAAAGAAGATACAAAGAATACTGATGAAGATAAAAAAAAGTCTTCCAATCATTCCTATAATCCTAGTATCTCAAATTATGATCCGATAAATGATGCATGTTGGAAACAGGGTGAAAAGTGTGTATTGTATTTTTCATAGTATATTATATTTGCACTGATAAAAAAAATCGTTTCATTTTTTATAGGGTACCATACATTGCGTTGACACGTACACTAGAACTGATTGAAAATACTAGTGCTCGATTAAAGATGATAGAAATTTTATCAAATTATTTCCGATCTGTTATGGTTTTAAGTCCAGATGATTTAGTTCCAAGCATATATTTATGTCTCAATCAGTTAGCACCTGCTTATGAAGGTAAGTAGTATTACATACATATATTGTTTTCTGTTTTAAAGTAATATATACTTCTGTTTCAGGAATTGAATTGGGTGTGGCAGAAACGAATTTAATGAAAGCTATAGCGCAATGTACTGGTAGAACTCTATCTCAAATTAAAGCAGATGTCCAAGTGGTTGGAGATTTGGGCATTGTAGCAGAAGGAAGTCGTTCTAATCAAAGAACTATGTTTCAACCTGCTCCATTAACAGTATCAAATGTATATGCTAAATTAAAAGAGATCGCACAAATGACTGGTTCTGCGGTACGATATTTGTTAATATCATTCAATGTTGTTCATTTTAAAGAATCTCTTGTATATCATCTTTGGGATATAAATATTTAGATCGCGATACAAATACGTATTTAACTTTTCATGGAAACGGAAATATTGTTTTTAAATTATAAATAATTAACACTTGTTGACAGCACTAACAATTTAAGATATGTATCTTTATTTGGGCTAATATTTTTATTGTATTAGTATAATTTCTTTTCTTTTTACAGTCTTTAACTAAGAAATTGGATAAAATTCAATCACTTTTTGTAGCATGTCGTTTTACTGAAGCAAGATATTTGATTCGGTCTTTAGGCGGTAAACTTCGAATTGGTTTAGCGGAACAGTCAGTATTACAAGTAAGTATATTTATATTACATTATAATAGAAACATATAATTATAGATAAATATCTACAGGCTATAGCATTAGCGTGTACTATGACACCACCGAAGCAAAAGTTCCCACCGGAAATTTTAAATGCGAGTAAAAAGATGTCAAACGATACCTTTAAACAAAAATATGATGAAACTGCACTTATTATTAAAACAACATATTGGTAAATATTTATTTTTATTCTAAATATTTGAATTTGTTTTTCAGTTTATAGTGTATGTAATATGTATTTTTAGCGAATGTCCAAATTATGACAAAATAATCCCTATTTTATTAAAAGAGGGAGTTAATGAATTACCAAATAAATGCAAAATTACACCTGGAATACCTATGAAACCGATGTTGGCGCATCCTACTAAAGGTGTGCAAGAAGTACTGACGCGTTTCGAAGGATTGAAGTTTACTTGTGAATGGAAATATGATGGAGAAAGAGCACAGGTTTATTGTTGTTTTTTCATAATCATTTATAGTATAAAAATATATCGTGAGAAGAAGGAATATTTAAGTGTCATAAATATTTTACAGATTCATTTAGCAGAGGATGATAAAATTAGTATTTATAGTAGAAATCAAGAAAATAATACTACGAAATATCCTGATATTATAGGACGATTTAAAAATACCCGAGGAGAAAGAGTCAAAAGTTGCATTCTTGATTGCGAAGCAGTAGCTTGGGATACCGAAAATAAGCAAATTCTGCCTTTCCAAATACTCAGTACAAGAAAGCGCAAGGTATTGTAAAATGTAGAAAAAAGAAGAAAATTAAAAAACTTTTGCGTATATTTTTGCTTTACAGGATGCGAGTGAAGCAGATATTAAAGTTCAAGTATGTGTGTTTATGTTTGATCTTTTATATTTTAATGGAGAATCGTTAGTAAAAGAACCTTTTATAAAACGTCGTGAGTTATTGAAAGACAATTTCAAAGAAGTAAATGGGGAATGGAGATTTGCAACTAGTTTAGATACTTCAACAATGGAACAAGTGCAAGATTTCTTAGATGAATCAGTGAAAGGTTAGTATATATCTATTTAAAAATAAATTATTTAAAAAAATATATATGATAATATTTAATAGGTAATTGCGAGGGTCTTATGGTGAAAACTTTAGAACAAGACGCAACATATGAGATTGCTAAACGTTCTCGAAATTGGTTAAAATTGAAGAAAGATTATTTAGATGGCGTAGGAGATACATTAGATGTAGTAGTTATTGGTGGCTATATAGGAAAAGGAAAAAGGACTGGAACTTATGGAGGATTTCTTTTGGCTTGTTATGATCAAGAAAATGAAGAATATCAAAGTATTTGTAAGGTAAATATGATTAATATGATAATAACTTTTCTTTACTTTCAGATAAAGATTTTAATGTTTCATATATTTCTTGCCTAATCAGATTGGTACTGGATTTAGTGAAGAGGATCTCCAAAAGCACACTGAGTTCTTTAAAGAACATATAATATCACAAACTAAGTCGTACTATCGTTACGATTCATCTCTCGAACCCGATCATTGGTTCGAACCCGTCCAAGTTTGGGAAATTAAGTGTGCAGATTTATCTTTATCACCTGTACATAAAGCAGCTGTTGGTATAGTTGACCCCGAGAAAGGGATATCTTTGCGATTTCCGCGTTTTATTCGCATTCGGGATGATAAACCTAGCGAAGAGTCTACATCTGCGCAACAAGTTGCAGATATGTATAACAATCAAGAGCAGATAAAAAATCAAGCAACTTCAACGAAAGTGGCTGAAGAAGATTTTTACTGAATTTTATATCTAACTAAACTTATTTTAAATAAATGGAATCAGTTTACACTTTTTTTTTAAATAAATCATTAGAATATGGTATTTGTTATAAAATAGATTATTTTGTATTTAACGTAGCTATGTACAATTGGAATATTTTCGAATATACATATTTGTACGAAAAAACGCCGTAAATCACAATACGAAGAAATTGTTCTTTCATTAGTTGGGTTGTAATATATGATTTACATATTTATCAGAAAAAATGAAAAAAGAAATATACATATGACGCTTGTCATTATAATCACAGATATACCCATAAATAATAAGTTTCTCAATTTGAAAAGGTATACTATACAAGATTGCAAAAAAAAACAAATTTTTTGTAATTTCTCAATGTACCCAGTTTTACTGAATTGGTTTTCTAACCTTAAGTGTTTTCGAGTACAATGAAAGTTGAACAACAAATGATGTCGGATACGGTTAATCAGAAGTTATTTTATAATACCGTATTGTCACAAACGTTCTCTTTTGACGGAAATAATTTATTAGCTGGAAATATTTATGGAGATGTTGCAGTTTTTGAGTAAGTAGATATTTGATTAAAGAAGACAATAATATGTAAATGTAGGTTAGGTTGATATTAAAACGAAAAGATAAACGATTTTTTACATAATAATCAATATTTAAAACTATCAGAAAGTCTTGCTTAATATTCAGAAATCTTAGATAATGTTAAAATAAGTATTAAAATGTAGTTTATTTTTCTATTAGAAAATTTCTTTTTGTAGGTTGTCAAAAACTTTGGGACCACACAAAGTGGAAGAAAATGAATTACAAGGTCCCAATTATCGTTTCACCGCTCATTCCAATCAACAGGTAGAAAGTATGGTATCAACAGACAATTTTTTAATAACGGGTACATCAGGAGAAATATGTGGATGGGATTGGAAAACAGTTACTTCAAGTAAAGCTCCAAAAAGTAAAGTTTCATGGACCATACACCTTCCAGTTAATAAGTGAGACTATCTAGTTAAATCTTAAATGTTATCACAGCAATTTACAATATTTAGCAACAATATTTTATTTCTAGGGACAGCTATGAAAAACCAGATGTAAATTATTTAGTATATTCCAAATCGAACAACCTTCTATATGCTGGTTGTGGTGATAACAATATTTATGTAATTACTCTAGAAGATGGTAGAATATTAAGAAGTTTAGAAGGACACACAGACTATATTCATTGCTTATCTTTAATGTATGTATCATACAATTATTAACATTGCATAGCTTTTCTATAAGGCAATTCTTTGTTTAGGGGTCATCAATTAGCTTCATGCAGCGAAGATGGAACAGTGAGGTTATGGGATTTACGAAAAAGAGAAAACACTAATATATTAACCCCTCATTTAGTAGACAAAGTTGCCAGACCAGGATTAGGTAAATGGATTGGTGCCATAGATTTTACAGAGGATTGGCTGGTATTTATTCCCTTCTGTTATTCTTTTTCTTCTTCTATAGAATGTGTAATCAATTATAATATAACGATAAAGAAAATCTATATAGCATAATTGTTTAGTTATGTGGAGGTGGTCCAAGTTTATCTTTATGGCATATGCGTACTATGGAAGCAGCCACTGTATTCGAGCTTCCGGATGAAGGTATCCATGTAGCAAATATCTATGAAGAGCGAGTAATAGCTGCTGGTACAGCACCTCACGTTTATCACCTAACTTACCAAGGAGAAATGTTAGCAAAAGTGCCAACTTCTAGCAATACTGTGTACAGTATTATTTATCAAGAAACACCACAAAAAGTATTTAGCATAGCTGGTTCATCGAATAACCTTGATATTTGTACAAATTTTAATTATCGCGAATTAATGTTAAAGTTTGCGTGATAAAAGCGAAAGATTAAAATTAAAGTCTACAAAATGATACATAGAAGGAAACGATCTCATTAAGTACATATATATTTTTTAATAAATATATTAATACAATGTGCATTTTATAAAATATGATATAAAACTTTTTACAAATATACAAGTATTTATTTGTTAGTTGTGATTTCTTGTAATGCGGTCGTCCTCTGCTTTCAATAGATTCGACTAACAACACATTCGTAAAGTATAATGAAACACAATTAACATTCGTCTAAAGTTAGTTGGAAAATGGCCGTCTTTAATAGCTATAAAAAGCCCTGTGCTTTTTATCCGAAAAAAGATATTAAGAAATTAAACGAAGTGAAAAGATGATGTGACAAGATGATAGAATGGTAAATGATTTATTCCCGAATGGTTTTAAGCGGCCAACTAATTTTGGGAAAATCATAAGAACGCGACAGTCACAGGAAGCCGTGACCTGCGATCACTGCAGGTATAAAGCCTTCTCTGCCGTCTCGCGAACGGACCCAGAACCAATCGCTAACGTGATCGCTTAGTAGTGCAACTACATCGCCCTTGGAGACTGTCAAAGCATTCCCACCTTGACCCTCATAGTCGCTGCGTATGACGAGCAAAGTGTGCCGGGATCCTTTGGTTCTAGCGTTTGCCGCAGCCCTAAGGTACAGTCTATCGACGCTGCGTTCTCCACAGGCTGACACTGCATCCCTAGAACCTCGTCTTACCCTTGGATTTCTTCCTCGAGCACCACACTCTGACCGGGTATCTCTCAGTTTTTCCGTGTCTGTCATGTTCCCTGGAAACAGCAGTTCCCAGACTAGTAAAAAAATAATTTTCGCACGAATATTACAGGAATGGATTTATAAATTACCTAGAGGACGAGGAAATACGTCCGTAGAGTCCTCCCAACATGGTCCTCTCGTTGGTTGTGGTAATATCCCTAATGGTAGACAAGCGGCATATCCAACGTAGCCTTCCTGGCCGTGCGGTGTTTGAACGTACAGCCAGGTCTGATTCTTGAAGACCGCGTTTACGACTGTTCCAAGAGGAAGGGCCATCTCGTCTTGAGTACCGCCTTGGGTCTGGTACAGGACGGATGGAAAGGAGAGGACAACAGGAATGTTGGCAGGTTTCTCTATCGAGGCCTAAAAATACATGGAATATTACGTAAGCGAAATTGTTTCAGTAACTTTATTCGAATTGTTACGAATCGTTACGATCGAGACGGTACTTTGGTGAGGTATGCATCAAGGTCTGCAATTTCATAGCCAAATCTACTCGGAGGTCTCGGCTTGTGAGATCGTTTGGTTCTTCGATGTCTGTGTTTCTCTCGGCCACTAGGCGTGGACGTTGACTCACGAGATACAAGAGACGGTTCGGACACTGCCCTCTTAACTTTCTCCTTCTCCTTCGCCTCCTTCAGCCCTGAAAATTCCTTTTCGGACTGCTTCTCCAGGGGACTGTCTAGCGATCTTTCATTGACCAGTGCCTCCTTGCTGATGGGCTGGAAAAACGTAATAAACGTGAGTGTGAATATTAACACGTTCCATCCTAAGTTGAAAGATGTTATTAGAAAAGAACCTTGTCTTGAACTTCCACCTTTTCCGTCCTCTCGATCTTCTCTATTCTCTGCAGTACCTTCTTTTCTCGCTTCTCCGTGTCCACATTCTCCTTTCCACCGTCTTTTTCTTTCACACTTTTCACACTCCTCTTCGAGGATCTTTCCTTGCTGTCTCGTGACAAGCCCTCTCGATCGCCGTTCCCACCTTTGCAAAGATAACATTGTTCCTCAGGCCTTCGTGAAATGGCGAAATTGCAAATAATCTATGATATTCGTTCTTTGGGAATTTTCATAAATAACTGTTCTTACACGGCGCCTGTATCATTTCTCCACCATGGAAATAACTTTACGATTTAACTTCCTCGCGCTAACATTATTGCTTGACCCCGCGTTTCCGTATTTGGAACATCCCATGACCCGAGTTGTTTACTGCATAGCTATCATTTAACTCGATTCTCATCCAGTTATACCACGAGTTTACCTCGGATTCGTATACCTGCACTATCTACCAGAGTTTCCTGCATTTCGATTATTCCCTATCGAACTCGAATCTTCTTACGTGACTGCTCCACCCGGACATGTCATGCAAAACCTTTCTTACAACCAACTATTGCTTAATCCAAACTTCGTATTAATCTATCGTCTGACTGACAATCTCTATACTAGACCTATTGCTGGACTCCAAGTTTCTACACTCGAATTCTTCCTTTACCCTCAGTTTTCATAATCTCATCTATCTCTCGCCTATCTATCTGTCGAGGTTTGGGCCTGATCCCGTACCTTCGTCGAACTTTTTAGAAGCAAATGGTTATCCTTGCGAAATTATTTTCCTCGCTAGCCAAGTTTTCCATGTTTATTTCTCGCGTATCCTCGAGTCATCGGCCCCAACACGAATTATTTCTTCGTACTTGTTTTTCACAGACCTGCGTTCCCATTGGCTGCCGAATGACTGTTGTTGGAAGCAGGTTGCTGTTGCCCGCGGAGTACCCAGGTCAAAGAGATTTTGGGGCGTAAGAGGGTGCTTGGCCGTTGCCCCATGCTCCTCGGCGGCGCGAGGGGCGTCGAGGGCGTCGCGGGCGTCGCGGGCGTCGGCGATCTGGGTGGTGACGGCGACCTCGACGTAGGTGTCACTACCTGCAAAGGACAGTCCGCCACCAGGTCCACCGTCTGCACCGAACAGCCATGTTCCTGTAACCGAAACAACGAATTCTCTGTTTTCTATCTTCTCTCTTTTTTCTCTCTCCTCTTCTTCTCTTTTCTCTCTTTCAAAGTTCGCACGAATCTCGACGCTACCGTGCGTTCTCTCGTTTGTTTCGCAAAAGCAAAAAGGCTACGTTGTGTTAACTGTTTGGAATAAGTAGCTCGAAACGAGTACCACGCGTGCTTCTAACGCGAATGTAAATAGACGCGGCTGCACGGGAAATGAGCACTATTCAGGGTGGCTAGTTTGCGTTACAGAAGTGCACTTCCCTTTACAAGAGATAAATAGAATGACTACCGACTGCCGGAGGTTCGTGAATAATCAAAGAACGTCCGAGAGGCGAGTTGCGAGCGTAGACGATTCAGAAATTGAAATAGGGGGCTCGTTAGGGTCGTTGTTCGCGCAATTTCGGGCCCTGAAAAAGCTAACCGAATCGCTCGCTTGATTAGGCCAATTTCAAGCGCGTGTAATTGCACCGGTTGAAATCCTTTGTGCGCATGGTCGGAGAGATGTTTCCGGGCTTCGTGAATACGATACTTATTGCGGGAAATTTGCATAAGGAGACTCGAGTAGGAAGCAAACGAATCGGCGAGACAACTCTATCTTTGGGGTGACTGACTTGGTAGAGAACTATGGCCTATTCGCTAGAATCCACTAGAAATCGCTAGAATTCACTAGAATTCGGTAGAATCTACTATAATTCGCTAGAATTCACTACAATTCGGCGGAATCCACTAGAATTCGGTGGAATGCACTAGAATTCGATAGAATTCACTAGAATTCGCTAGAATTCGCTAGAATTCGGTAGAATTCGGTAGAATCCACTAGAATTCGGTGGAATCCACTAGAATTCGCTAGAATCCACTAGAATTCGATAGAATTCACTAGAATTCGGTGGAATCCACTAAAATCTTGCGTTCAATGGTAAAACATTGTATCTATTTATCTATCGAAATGAACAGATATTGTAAAATAGGCAAAGATTTTCTTCGTCTATTTTACGTATGAAGGAGACGAAGGATAGATCTATTGTATTTTAGACTATAGAGTTTAAAAGAACGCGGTATAATTTCTTATTACTGTGATTGTCGAATCGTGAAACGATACTGATTTCGATAAAATTAATCTCGATTTTTAACCACGCGGGAAAGTAATTATATTATTTGTTTAACCTCGCCGTAACGTTTTAACGATTATTATCTATGTATAATATACTTAGATGCGCATTATCGGTCGGTAGCCTCGGTGTTATCTATTTTAAACGAAACTATTTTTAATTGTCGCGGAATGCTCGTAAATGCGGTTTATTTTGCTTGTATTCGAGCTGTTCTACAAACATATTAATCCAAACGTAACGTGCATTCGCTAGACACTAGCCTTAAGCAATTTCGAGACCCGAAGCATTTCTCAAAACGGGAAAACAACTGCGAGCCCGTGGCATCCGCAATTTGCAATTCATATATCGAAGTAATTGAAAAATCCGAATGGAAATACCTCGATCGAATATTTATTTTACTACGATGGTTTTACTGCAATAAAGAAAATAACAATTCGAAACTTTTCTTTCATTTTATTATTAAATCCACATTTTTTAATTATAAATTATTTCTTCCTTTTATTACTAATTTTTATTTAAAAATATTCACGAGTCTAATAATAAAATATAATAAAAGAAATGAAAGAAGAATTCAAAGCAGGGGTGTGCAGGGCTCCCGAAAATTTGTCCAAATACCACTTCGAATATTATTTATAGACAGCTGTTTATAATTAATAATTCCAAAGGCAGCTTCCAAAATTTTCAGAAATCTTATTAATATCGTACCCCAATCGCGAGTCTAATAATAAAATATAATAAAAGAAATAAAAGAAGAGTTCAAAGCAGGAGTATGCAGGGCTCCCGAAAATTTGTCCAAATACCACTTCGAATATTATTTATAGACAGCTGCCTATAATTAATAATTCCAAAGGCAGCTGCCGAAATTTTCAGAAATCTTATTAATATCGTACCCGAATTAAAAATTAAAAATAGAAACTGAAACCATAAAACAATCACGCTCATAGACGTTTCGTTCATATTTCCCGCCTTATCTCTCCGAACGGGGTGTAAAGCTCGGCCCAAACCTGTAACCCTTCGCCGCGAGATCATGCAACCCCTAACCCGCATCGTTGGCGAATTTATTAAACGGCAAAACGCGTTAATAACGACTCCGGGAGAGAATGCACGCATTGGTCCTTGTAGCCGGTGTTGGTTTGCCCGGTTATGGAATATATATTGCGCTTCCGTGAGCGTGGCTACGTGGTTGGATCCCGGTAAATCACCGCGCGTGCAGCTCTTTCTACAAAGTGGATTATTAATTCGTCTCATAGGCGTTCAATTAGCCCGCGGGCAGAGCCTCGCGGAAATGAATTATTCGTCGACGCACGCGTGTCCCCGGCGTGCTTTACCGCGCCGCGGAAATTTACGGCTGTCGCCTCGCATAAATAGCAGCCATGGCCACCGTGAAATTTACGAACGGCCGGCAGACCGCCTCGTAAAATTTCTACGTCCCGGCCTCTTCTTCGCCGCGCTCTCTGCTTCGTTTTCATAGGAAAACAATGAATACCGGAAGTGGAGGACTCGTGCCGCGAGGCGCGCCGCGAGCTCTAAGTAACCAGGAATCCTGTGGTCGCAGTGGTCGCCGCCATTTTTCGCCAGCCAGGTCCAACGCGCGCTTTTTTTCAGAAAATTGCGGCCGAGCTACAGGCATTTGCCAATTTTCTCCGCGAGTCTGAATGCACGAGTGCATCCGCGGAATGTTTTTGCGTTTGCGAGACGCTATTTTCCACTGCAAAAATACTTTTTAGGGAGGAAGATCGGAGAGAAATTTTTGCCGGTGCAATAATAGTCGATAGTTGGATTCGAGAAGGATGTCGGAGCAGTGACTGTGACGATGATGTAACGAGTAACGAGTTGGATAGTTGGATTGTCTTCTTGCGAACATAAGATGGAAATAGTCTTATTATTATTATTACCGGAGCGATGCTTTCTAAATACTTAATCTTAGCTAGTTTTAATCCAATATTCTGAAAATAGCGTTTTATTAATGCCTTATGTTGCAATAGCGAGCCTAATTTGTGGCGAGTTTTCCAGCTAAACCCTATGAAGACGAATTACACTCGTATTCCACTAAAATTATATATAATATATTTTAACTCGCGCAAAATTTGTATAGTACTGAAAATTTCTACAATTTTATGGGAATATAGGTATACAATGACCAATTAAAATTTTGCAATGTTCAATCCACGGTTTCTCATATTTCTCATAATTAAATCACGTATGTTACGACAGGGGGTCTAACTCGTGCGAGTTTTAAACCCCACGAAGACGAATTACACTCGTATTCCACTAAAATTATATATAATATATTTTAACTCGCGCAAAATTTGTATAGTACTGAAAATTTCTACAATTTTATGGGAATATAGGTATACAATGAGCAATTAAAATTCTACAATGTTCAACCCTCGGTTTCTCATATTTCTCATAATTAAATTACATATTTTATGACAGGGGGCCTAACTCGTGCGAGTTTTAAACCCCACGAAGACGAATTACATTTGTATTCTACTAAAATTATATTTGACATATTTCAATTCGCGCAAAATTTGCATAGTACTGAAAATTTCTACAATTTTATAGGAACATGATGGGTATACAATGATCAATTAAAATTCTACAATGTTCAACCCATGAACCCAACGGTTTCTCACATTTCTCATAATTAAATCACAATGCAAGGGGTTGGTCGAAAACATCTGAGTAGCCATGACCACCCTTAGCAATTGAAGATTCAATTTAATCTATCCGACTCTGTGTGCTCTAATCATATTAACCATAGTCGACTCTGTTAGCAAAATTCTGTTACTCTAATCATATTAACCACATCCAGCATCAATCCTCCGTGCTGGAAAATTCGTTTCGAGACTCGTAGAAATAACTGGTAATCCTAAGCACTCTCAGACATAGCCAGAGGATCGACTGGAAGCAATCTAATCCTATTAGGAAATGTTTTTCGCGAAACGGTGCGATAATAATTCAGCTTTTAATCTACCATCGTGGAAAGATGGTGGAAACACGGTGGAAAGATCGTTCCATCAGTCGTCTGAGCAATCATAACCGTGTTCGGGAGCCGCAGCGTGAACTCGAACTAATGCAACGCTATTACGTTGATTTTTTCGGAAAACACGGCGCGTATGGTCGATTAAAAAAGACACGTGGTTTTTCCCCGTGTTATCGCGTGGTCCCAGCTCGAACACGTTTCCATTAAACGAATCGAGGCTCGCGACTATCCGTGCAATCTTTCAACAGCGTTTCATCCTCTCGCGTGGACCGATCTCCGAAGACATTCCGTGCCGTGGACCGGGGCTGCAAACGCGTTCCTATGAATTATTGCACCATTAACGTGAGTAATCGCGCCGGCGGGAAAATTATATAGTAATTTGTTCACGGCTGATCGAATACGTCGGGAATTTTATATTCTCTCTTTTGCGAAGGGGTAATGAAGCGGGCTAGCCCCGGGGGAAAAACGCGCTGCAACCCCGGGACTCGTGGCCATGAAAAATGAAGACGTTTCACCCGGCCGCTTTCGATTTTACGCGCTGAATGGGCCGGCTAAGTAGCCATTCTGATGCCCCGGACGCCGTTATAATTTATACGTCGCCCTTTGTGTTACGCAGCACGATGATTCTTCCGGTGATCGGCCGGCCGATTACCTCGAAACTTTGACCGGTCTTTATGAAAAATGCCCGGTTAAAGGGACCCGCCAGGCGAAAACTATCGCCTCGCCAGCGATAGCGTCGGGATCTTTAACCCTCCCCTCCCCACGGGTACCGTCGCGGGACGCATATTCTTCGACCGTGGAGAACCGGAAGATCGGGAATCCTGACAAGAACGTTCGCATCGAGTCGCGAAAATTGCGTCCAACTCGTCTCCTTCGATCGTGTT